CGAAATGCAATCTCTGGCAGAGAGTGCATTTTGTTTGCCTACCCGCGAGATGAATTTTAGAAAGCGGGAATCAATTTTCCCGACGAATAAGCATAGGCGCGGTGGGAAAACGATTTACTTTCGTCACGCGGCCCAATATTTAACTTTTCATTCTGAGAAGAATAGGCGAGAGAGCACGTGCCTACGAAATCGGCAAGTAGGCCAGACTCGAAATGGACCACGCGGTGCCTCCCACACATCATGCACCTCGCGAAAAACGCACACAACAAACACACTGCAAAGCTCGCTTTCATTCGGCGGGACTATTTTGTTGTCCATTGTGCAGCAGTCAATGGAATGAGTGAAAACGCTGCACAAAAGAAAAAGTGGCGCTCTTGGTTGAGGAATCTTAAACTAATTAAAAGTTTTTTAATCATAACAAAATTATTAACGCAAAATAATTGATATTTTTAGAGAAAAAAATTGTGCAATCTACCATTTCCAAATATTTCACAGGAAATTTCATTTATATTATTAACTTGTCGACTGTATTATTTTAAAAATAATTAAAGATTGACTTAAATCAGTGAATAAATAATTCTTGTTATAAGATTTTATGATTTTAGCCTACATAAATTCATCAATTTGGTCAAGGCAAATGCGCCACTGCCAGCATTTTTGATCGGCCATTTAATTTCGCCTCTCTCAGGTTTCTTTTTGTGCATCATCACGATTTAGATCCCGAGTCAGCGAGAAATCAATGAGAGCCGATTAAAGAATATTTTCTCTTTCACATATAGTTACAATCAAGTGCTCACTTTGCTACATCAGCGAGAGTGTCGAAGTCGAAATGCGCCAAGGTTTGTTTTTTGCTCCCTTTTTTACATACGACCTGAATTTCTGCACTATAAAATCGTGACGAATAGAGAAAAATCCCAAGAGTGTTCTCAGACACATCTACAGAAAATTATCAGAAAAAAAGTAAACCATGGACGAAAGTTTTGAAAATGGATGCGTGCATTTTCACATTTTATCGGCGCGAGTATTTTGCAATTTGTTAGAATCATTTAGAATAATAATATTGGCTTAAAATTAATCACCTTGTAAAAAAAACAAAAGCAAAGCATAGAAATTGCTTTGACTTACATACATTAATTAAAATGTGATGATTTGCATACTGTGTATACCCAAGTGGTATAAAAAAATTAATTCTTTGAGGCTTAAATTATTAAAATTTCATTAAAATAAATTTTAATTGCGCTTTCCATATTCCCACCTTGGTTATTTGTAAAAAGTTTGCTGTGGACGGGACAGAAATATGACTGATAAGTAACAATTCAGTCCTAATTTGGGAATTTCCGGAGGTCATTCACACATTTAGTGCTCACAAAAAACGCAAAGAGCATTAGTGAGACTATTAGCATCTCATCTCACAACTGCTGATTTCATTCGTTCAAATCTTCAACTGAAAAAAAAATCCATTACAGCAGCTTTTGACTTCCCACGCGTTTATTTGCATAACATTGACACAGAAGAAGTGGCTCTCGGCTAATTACCTGTCAATGCGGCAATGCTAAATGCACTACTCCAGCCTTACTCGTGTTTTTTTTTCGAGCAGAGGTGCTAAGGCTGAAAGTGAAACAGTGACCATCAAAGTGCGCCGATTACGTCACCCCCGCGAGCATCTGCATTGGTGGCTTATCTCGTTCAGACTCGCCAGGTTGCATCACCTTTGGCAGGGTAATCGCGCAAGGACAAGATTAATGAGAACCATTTTAGGTGCTGTACCAGACGCTCACCCATCTGCCTGGCTACGTGCCGCCGTTTTGATACACTTTTAATTTATCGGCTGTAAAATTTGACGATCTTCGATTCAGGGTCAGCTTAATGGGTCTTAATTGGGATGGAAAAAGATTCCTGCGTGCGGATGCTGTTCAGCAGACGAGGACACACGCTAGTGCCAGGATAACCTTTGCTTTAGTTCTGCCAGAATATAGTTAGGTTGAAGGTTGACAAAGCATAATATTTGCCTTTTTTTCTGTCAATAATATTTTTGGAGCAATATTTGCTTTTTCGAGAACATCGCATGCCGTGACTAGTGAAAATTAAATTCAAAACTAACTTTTACCAAAACTTTCTATGTGGACTTGAAAAGTAAAAGAAAGGGTTAATTATTCCTCTTAAGAAAAATTCCGACTAAATTGATGGTGCTGCTGAGCTGTAGAGACAATTATTTACAGATTAGATAAATTAAGCATCCATGATTAAGCTGTAAAGTTGAAAATAAATGGCACCTCTAATGAATTCTCATAGTTATTTAAGCTGTCACTTTTGTCCCTTTATCAAAGTCTTTCTCTCTGCAGTTTCTCCTCTCTAGCAATTTAAACTTCATTTTCATTAAATCTCTTCCGAAATAGACCTCTATTGTCTTTTTCTAGGTTTATTGCGAGAGAAATCCGCTGCGAAACACAAAAGGTGGATAGGATGAGATGTTTTAATGAAGTTCGCAAATACTTTCGTGTTAATTAACAAACAAGCGGAGAGGCTGCGTATCAAGAGGGTCAATGGAATTAAAAGTTTGCCAATTAAAGCGGCAGTCGAAGCGGCTGAATGTGTGACTAATGGCGCACACAAAACAAAATCCTTGCAGGAATGAAAGTTCATCTCATCGCAAATAATGCGATTCGTGCAACGGCCGACGATATACAAAGTACGTCTTTTCAAATTAATTAATTCATTTTGGCGGCGCATGAAAACTGATTGCGTTAATGTAGGTCACAATTAAAAGGGCGAATAATTTGTTTGATCGCGCGTCCGCGTGCGTGTTTGAATTAAACTCTTTTACAATCAGTTCTTTTCTTGCTATCCTTGGGATTCGAGAGGATGCGAATTCTTCTTCGGCGCGATGTCGCTTTTCTCCGAGACAGCCATTTACGGCAAAGGCCTTTGAGAATATATTAAATTTTGCTCCGAGACGCAGAGGTTCAAGTTCATCTTGATCGTCGTGATATTTGCAAAAATATTTCAGGTGTGTTCCAGCATTCATAAATTTTCTGGGAATTTCCTGTTTTTTTTTTATCTGATACTCTTGGGCATTGACTTTACAAGAAACGCTTTAAAGTGAACAAAGTGGGATCAAAGACGAGTCTTTGAATTCCACTGCACATCAAGCGACTTTTAAAAACGATAAGTTAGCAGTAAATAACAATGCAATAATAATTATTTCACTAAGATAATTATGCTAAAACTAATAAATTTTAATGAAATTTAATCAACACCAAGTAAAGTTATTAACTTCTTTTCTTTTTTGATTGAAATGTTATTATTTAATAATAAAGGTAAAATATTATTGCTTAATAATATTTTCCATTTTGATAAAACTCACATTAGACAGCAGCCTGTCTAAACAAGACATGAAGGGTAAAGATATTAAATTTGCAAGTTCATCGTGTCAAGAGTAATATAGTTAGCAAGATACCCAAGTAAAGAACGTGTTGGCAAATCTTGAAAATTTTGATGAAATGTTGTTTGACGTTCAATGCCTATGTTAATTCAACGCTCTGTCAAAAGAGATCATCTACTGAGCTTGCTCAACGTTTAATTGAATGGAGTCCTAGCAGTCAATTTGCATGCTCGTGCGTGACCACCAAAGGCAAGTTAATTAATTAGTAATTCAAATTTATTCTCAAGATCAATTTTTACATTTTTTTCTTTAGAGAAAAAAAACAGTAGAATTTTACATATTATAGGCTTGATTACATGAATTTGAATATTGAATGTCTGCCGAATGATGTTTTAAAAGCAATTAATTTTATATAATAATAGGAAAATGAATTAATCTTCTTCCTTTTCAGCAGCTTTTCAGTAAGTGACTTCATTGGCAAAAGGAACGATGACGCTGAATTCATAATGATGTCTTTAGTCACGTACGCGTGCTCATTCCTTTCCCTTGATGAATTTAATTTCGAAGAACAATTCAAATCGAACGTCTTCCTCACCTCGAAGGGAACCCCCAGTCGTTGGGAAAAGTAAAAGTTTGCATAGACTTAAGTAATGTTTATTCAGATTCAGGAACTTGGCGTTTCTTAACTCCAAGCAGGTTGATATATTTTCAGATTCAGACGTGCGGAACCTTAAACTTGGACCGCTTTAAAAAGAGCAGTAAAAGTTTCACTCGGCACAGCACAATTGTGCAGAGATAATAAAAAAGCCAGCGCAAGTATCGCCGTCGGCAGTTCAAGCCTCTCTTTCCAGCAATTAACAATTACATTTCGCGCACGCACTGACTTTCGATCCGTTTTTCGCCGGCGACAAAATATGGTTTGTCACGACGCCGCCTCGAGGGCCTTTTGCAAGAGCGAGTGGTTTGTTTTACGCGCCAATTTTCTCTTTCCGCGATTCCCACGGTGAACAACGAATAAACACACGTTGGAAGAAAGCGCAGCAGCCGATGTCAAGATGAAAGAGAAAACACGCGCCGAGATCGAAAGAGACACAATAAAATATATTTGACGAGCGAATAATTTGTGCGGTGCGCGAACATTCCTCCGCTGCCTAGGGCAGACCATTCCATTAACACACAAACCCACAATTGGACAAAATCCGCCGATCCTTTTCGTTCCCTGTGGATGTTTGAGCTTTCTTTCCTCTCTTCATCTACGTGCATGTGCCATACCGACTCATTAATTATGGCGCTTGAACGCCGGACTGCATTTTGAATAATGGAAATAGAAAGTATAAACAACGATGGACGGTAGCACCGCAGGGAAAAGTCTGAATCTTGCGATTAAGGAGTGTTATTTACAATATGGAAAAAATTCAATGTTGTTTATGAGACTGGTAGCTCTCTGCTGGTGGGCTCGTCCCAAATATTTTGGCTATTTCATTCAATCAACATCATCACTACTTTTACTTTTTTCAAATTTAATTTCACTTCAAATGCCTTTTTAATGATTGACTTAATTGATGTTTATTTTACATTTTTGATGACAATTTATTTATTAAAATATAAAATATATAAAAAATATTAATTACACTTTTTAAAATAAACTCTTTGATTGCTTTTTTTAGTTCATTACATCTTGCGATTCTAAATCTAATGAAATGATTTGTAATAATTGTAAACGGTGAATTTATGTTTTGTATTTACTCAAATTTTAAAATTTGAATGTACAATAAATGATAAATTTGCGAAAAGAAATGTCAATGTTTTTTAACTTTATCCACTAACATTCTTTCTCTCAATATGTACTACTAACAAAATATTTCCTTCGTATTTATTGGATAATTTAAAATACTTTAGAATTTTAGTTTCAAAAATCGTTAGATGGTAACTTTTTTATTTGATGAGACTGCTGGTAGTGTTAAGGCGTTGTCGGAGCGGCGGATGAACTTCAATCGCCCATTCTGCATCGATCACGCTAACATTTCTCATGTACGACCGGCCGGTGTGGACCAACTCGGAAAAGAGCACACAGCTCGGAGGCTTTGACGATTCGAAAAGAACGCTTGACGGGTGAAGGGACACGAATTGACGGTTTGCCACCTTAAAGATTATTAATCATTATCATTACTTTTTTTCACATCACTTCATATAAAAGGTTATAAAAGTTAGAACAAAGGATAGCAACACAAGCAAAGATCTGCTGAAAGTCCAACGTTAAAAGAAATACGGTCAGTCAGTCACAGTAATGGTAATAATTAAAATAATCTTTAAAGACGCATTTTTTAAATAATAATAAAAAATAATTAAAATATGGAAAATAATAAATAGTGCGATACTGGGAGTGAGCGCCTGTAAAATATGTACCAGTTTTGTCACGCAACACACTCAAACTGTGCAGGTTGCATAAACTCTAAAAAAAACTAGTCGAATTTAGGAAAATTTAAATAAAGAAAGCTACATAGAAGAGGAAGGGAAATAATTCAGCATGCTCCTTACCGTTATGTACAGCTTGTCCCTAGCATGAGTGGCCAAGTTGTTGACGAGTCCGAAGATCAAACACTTTCTAACCAAGGAAAGGTCTTTGCCGCAACTGCTCTGCCCAATGCCTGCTTTCTTGCACAGGTCCGTCAGCTGCTCCTTCACGAGGGTAGCATGGCTTAATGATCGGAGACTCAGATGATTTTCTTTACAGAAAATCTGGAATGAATTGAAATTGATATTTTGTCACACAATATTTCTTCAACTACATACCTTTTTGTTCTTTGCTGCAATATATGCTTGATAAATATTCAGCAATGTCTCGTGATCACCAAATTCAGAGTGGAATTTTGTTTGGGCAACCAGAGCTTCGTTTCTGTTGCTAGAAGAAGACTGAATGACTCCTTCCCCAGAGAGTAGTGCCACTAGTGTAATAATTTCATCCCTGTAATTCAAGCCTCATTAATCTTTTTTCCAAATACAAAATGATGTGTTGAAATTACCTGCATTGCAATTCATCAGAGGCTATCAATATTCTAGCATATGGAGCCTCGATTGGAAAATTAGACATTTTCTTGCCCAATTGTGTGATTTCTAGTTCATTTCCATTTTCTTGTACTCCACCAAGGGCCTTAAGCTGCTGGATTGCAGTTTGCAGAGCCTGAGTAAAATATGTTTTTGATATTCAGCCGTACAATACAATTGAATTTTTTATTACCTCGGGTTTAGGCTTATCCAAGAAATCAAAATCAGCAATTTTTTTGATACCGATTGTAAGAAGTTGCAAGATTACCGAGGTTAGGTTAATGCGGAGAATTTCTGGCACTGTTGATGGAGGAAGCTTGGCAAATTCCTGATCAATTTGAAATTGGTTTTAAAATGCTACAAAAAGTAAAAACAAATACCTCTTTTGTGAAACACCTGAAGCAAGTGCCAGATGCTTCTCGGCCAGCTCTGCCTGTTCTTTGCCATGCTTGGTCTTGGGCTACTCTTTGAACTTTTAAAACATCCAATCCAGTTCCAACAAAGTGGGTTCTGTAAATAAAATAATCAAACACTTGCTAAAAAATCAATTCAAATCTCACACCTGGCTTTGACCATTCCCGAGTCTATTACATGTCGTACGTCCGATATAGTAACTGAGGTTTCAGCAATGTTGGTGGCCAAAACTACTTTTCTAGTGCCTTTTTCAACAGGCTTAAATGCACGCACTTGCTGTTCTTGAGGCAATGCTGCATAAAGGGGCAAAACAACAATTGGAGGACCTCCAAATTCCTGCACATTATAAACAAAAAATATAATATTATGGAACCTTGAAAAATTCAAAATTACCTTTGCAATTTTTGGAATTGTTGCAGCCATATCCTCAATTTCCTCCTGTCCAGTTAAAAAAATAAGAACTCCCTCGCTATAAACAAAAATCAAAAATTTGAATTTGAACTTTTTGTTTGTTTAAAAAATTATGCCACCTAGCAGGAGCTGTCTTTTGAATGATTAAGAACAGAGTACTGAGACAAGCTGCAGCATAGTCTTCATGAGGTTTGGTCAAGTGCTTGATTTCGACATCATGCACACGACCCTCGATCCACACGACAGGCACAAACTTCTGTGGCTTTGATGAGAAGTATTCCCTCATGTGATCAACATCCATTGTAGCTGACATGACTACAATCTGTGGATTTTTTGTGTCAATATTTTCATCAACTATAGAAAGCTCCGATATGAAACCTTTAAAGGTACTCCTTGCTTTTCTCTTCTCCGCTGGGCCGATTTGACAATTCCAAATAAAATGTCAGTTGAAATTGACCTTTCGTGAGCCTCGTCCAGGACAATAACATTGTAGTTTAGCAGAAGAGGATCTAATTATGAATTGAAAAATAAAATATATACACGCTTTGATTATAATTCTTTTTTTTTTGTAAACTTAATTACCAAGCATTGCTTCACGAAGTAGGAGGCCGTCAGTCATAAATTTGATTTTAGTTGTGTTGCTCGTGACATCTTCGAATCTCACAGCATAGCCTACTTGTTCCCCAATGGAGCAACCTCGTTCTGCAGCCACCCTCTGCGCAACAGTGATTGCAGCAACTCTGCGAGGCTGTAAGATGATACATAGATGTTTATGGAACTCCATAAATTGAGTTTAATTTTGTTAAATTTGAGTGTGATATTTCTAATTTTCTTGAAAAACTACAGAATTTTGTACTATCCTGAATCTCGAAAATTTAGAACAGGGAGGTGTTAAGTTAGAGACTTTCGCCCAAACCTAAATATTGAACATTTAGAACAAAGGGAGGTTCAACCTGTCCAAACTGAATTTTCAAAATTTAGAACAGGGAGGTTAATAAAAATTTAAACCTTATAGAGAACAAACCTGAGTAATGGCAATCACTTTGGACTTGTGCACACCACTTTCTAAAATGAATTGAGGAACTTGAGTAGTTTTGCCGCAGGCTGTTTCTCCAATCAAAATTGTTGTTTGGTTGTTACGAATTGAGTTGATGATTCTGTGAATATAATGAGCACGTTATAAATTTAGAAACAATTCGAAATAACACTGTATAGTGTGTGTGAATGAGTTTTAAAAATTTAAATTTTGATATTTCATACTTTGCTCTTGACTTAAAGATTGGTAACGCCTGTCTAATCTTCTGATAACTTTCCCAAGACTGTCCCGGCTGGTCGTTTTGAGACACCTGCTGCTGGACGGCGTTTGGAAACTTGAACTTTTTGTTCGCTTTCTCGGGCGAACTGGCCACGAGTGGTCTCTTGTTGACACCGATTATGTTGTACTTGCTTAGCTCCATGGTCTGCACAGTTATTTTAATCAAACGATAAGAATATAAGACATTATAGCGATTAAATTGGATGCAAATAAAAGCTCAAGCACATGGTGTTTGTTGACGTTCAACTTGCATGGAACCAGAACCAACCAACAAGGAACCAACCAAGAGAACCAACATCAAAATCAAAACACGAATGCGTGGGTAGTGCAACAAGGAGCATGCGTTGTTTGAGGCACGAAATAAAAATTCTTCATTTTTCAACATAATTATTAAATCGTATCATATGAAATATGACAAAAGAAAAATATTAACTATATTTTGTGTTAAATTTAATTTAAATTTTTACCGTGCAGTTAAAAAATTGTAAATTTTTAATTATGCAATAATTTATATTAAATTTCCTGTTGGGATCCCTTGTGTTGTTACACTTTATGACTTTGTTTTTTTCAGTTTTAAAATAATTTAAAGCCACAATCCAGAAATAGTTTTCATCACTGATCGTTTCACCTTCACAGCTATAATTTTATTATTCTACAGAATAGGGAAAAAGATTGAATTTTCTTACAATGCATCGACTCTTGTTGGCATCGACTTTTGGAAAATATAGCGCGCAATAAATTCTCAATTTCTGATTGGTTGGAATTGTCGCTGAGTGGAATGCAACCAATCGGAGCGCAGTTTTTATTCTTGAGGCGTAACACCAAGCAACAAAAAAACAGAAGAAAGATGGTCTTTCACATGGACGGGATGTCGCGTCTAAAGTGGCTTTTAATTTTGGCATTTTTGTGCGTTTCTGTTAGTTCCAAGAAGCAGCCAAGCATAGTGCAACTCAGTGAAGAAAATTGGGAACAAATGCTCGAAGGAGACTGGATGATCGAGTTGTAAGTCCAGAGAAAACGGTGTCCGGGAAATGTGGAGATTGTGAGGCGTGTCGATTTTTTGTTTGACACTTCACACGCGATTGTAAATTGTCCTTTTTTGGAAACTTCTCAGATATTTATTGGAAGCATAATTATTGATTGAAAAGAATAAAGTACATTCATTTGAAATCTGCTGTAGGATTTTTTTGATTGGAAAAATATTTTCCTAGTTCATGAGTAAAATTTAAAAAGTGAAATTGATTGTTTACGAAAATGACTCATGTTTTTCTTTGTAATCAATATTTAATTTTACTTTCCACCAGTTTTGCACCATGGTGTCCGGCGTGCAAGAACTTGGGCCCCATTTGGGAGGAGTTTTCAAAGTGGCAGGAAGATCTCGACATCAAAGTGGGCCACATTGATGTGACGGTGGACGTTGGACTGAGTGGGCGATTCATGGTTACTGCCCTACCCACAATCTTTCAGTAAACTCTATTCTCTTCCTTTCCCGCTCAACCTTTGATACTCATTTTTATCTCAGTGTCCACAACGGAGAGTTCAGGCAGTACCGCGGTGCCAGGAAGGTCGAGGACTTTGTAACATTCATCGAGGACTCCAAGTGGCAGGAAATTGAGCCCATTCCCAGCTGGAAGTCCCCCTCCTCCCTGCAGATGTCCGTCGTCGCCTATTTCTACAAACTGTCCATGGTTTTGAGAGTGAGTGTCGACTTGCAAAACAACCTACTTGAAACTTGATACTGTTTTTGCCATTCTTCAATCTTGCATTACAAGAATGTGATTGCAACTCAAGTTGACTTTCATGAATATTAAGTTTCACACTCAACCAGAAGACAAGAACTAACATCATTCCAACTCATGTTTTCAGACGGTGCACAACCACCTGATGGAAACCTACGGACTGCCCATTTGGGGCAGCTACCTCATCTTTGCCCTGTTCACCATTTTGGTCGGCGCCCTGCTTGGACTGGTATTCATTTGAATTTTAAATCCTTGCCCTTTAATTATCTAATTTTGCACAGCTTCTTGTCTGCGTCATTGATTGCATCTATCCTCCCAAGCCCTCAAGTCGGGCTGCCGACTCCAAAGGAGAAAGTGAACCAGTTAGTATTTTCTGTAATTTCAAATCAACGGAATTTTTAATTGAGTATTTTTTCCATAATTAAGGAGGAAGATGATGATGATGACTGCATAAAAGATGATCGAGTTGGTGGAGGAAGTGCCTCTGAAGGAGAGGAGGATCAAGATGAAGAGGAATTAGACGCTTCGGAAGATGAAGGTGAAGGCAGCCAAGCTTCAGAACCTTCGTCAGCTCAAGCCAGTCCGAATGTGAGGCGCAGGAAACCACCCAGAGCCGACTAAGCAGGTTATTCCTGCTCCCAGTTTTGAGGCTCAATCCCAATAACTAATGCGGCAGTGTTGAGTCTGTCGAACCAAGGCTGAGTGATCGAATGATTATCAACTTAATTATCTCTCGTCTTTCAAAAGAAGGGATATTTTGGATTTACGTTTAAATCTGCAAAGTTATCCGGTTTCTGCCTTTGTTCCTGGCCTAGCGATCTGGTGAGTCTCGAGTCCATTGCGTTTTCTTATGTTAGAACGTGATCAGCATGTCGGTAATCTACGATGAAATTTTCTTTTCCAGGTCACTTGAATAATTTTGTATTATTTGAGTTGACACAATAGAAATTGGCAAGTGTCTCTGTTAACCCTTTCTTAACTAATTAATTATATAAAAATATTCTTATAAACTCACACATTAAACGCACACTTCAAATTGGTTTTGAAATTTCAATTTTATATTTTTATATGTCTTTTGTCACTGTATTTACCACCTTGAGTAGTGGCGTTTATCACTTAAATATTCAGGCGAGAATAGTTTCCTTGTCGTACTTGCCAATTTCTCCAATTCGGCACTTAATGAACTGTAATAAAATGCACCCACCCACCCTTATTAAGCAAGCATTTTGGAGCTTATCCAAAAATAAATTTTTGCCTTGTATGCAAAAGAAAGCTTTAGTGAAAAATCTTTACTCATTAGCAAACGATATAATGTTTTCTGGCTATGTTTTTTATTTAGCTTTTCAGCCATAACAATTTAAACATGTTTGTACACTATCCTAGTTTCTAGTGCTGAAAAGTTACACTCAAGGACATTTCACTTGCAAAATTGTATTGCCTAAATCTAAAACAAGAGTGTCTAATTTTTAATATTTTCCTTCTACCATTCCTTAGCAAATGTTGCGAATGTTAAAATGAGGACAATTAATGCAACGCTTTCGTATGTATAATTAACTTGTAAGGAATTATTGCTTTGATGCATATGATTAACAATTGTTATCCAAATAAAATGCAAAATGTAATTATTGGTAAACCCAACTATTTCTTTTTGATCCTTATTATTTTAATGAAACAAGCTGAAAAATTATGAAGCTTTTTAATTAAATATTCAGATTTATTTCACTCTTTACATTACACAGTTTACAATCAAATTATTCCAATTGTATTTATAATTTTTCTATATGCAAAATATCTTTTAATCCTATCTACTCAAAATATCTGCTGAATTTTTTATTTATATTACAATTTTTAAAAATCTTCAAGGTCCTTTGCAATTTACTTCTGTAAATTTATGGGACTAAAAGATTTTTGCACTCAGTATTTAGCATTATTTTGTAGGTTATGATAATCTTCTATCTTATTTTTTTCTTTATAAAATACAAATGAGACCATCTGCAAATAAGCAGATAAATGCAAGTTTCAACAAGTGAAAATGAGATGATTTTTTTCCTCTGGGAACAACAATCAGACATCTCAATGGTCAGACCTGAAGTGAACGAGAGGGTGGGGTCTTCAAAACAATGGCAGTGTTGGACAGCTTATGTCAGACGCCAAACATATTTTTGAATAAAAAATACATTGAAACATTTATACAATTATTCCTAAAGTAGCAGCAATAAGATTCGAAAATTTGAATAATACATAAAAAATATGTACACAGCACATATTAAAAAGGAGAAGTCTTTTCAGCTTATTCACAACTAACAAGGGACTGAATTTATTAATACTTCCAAATATTTTGGTTAATAATTGCAACCAGCATTATTGCCAGGAGACATTGGATAGTCCCTGCTTGACTTGGAACTGTGTTTGAAGGATCCGTAGGATGACTCCTCAGCAGGACTGGCCGAATGCTGCCTCTGGCCGTAGATAGCCTCTGCCTGGGTTTGTGGTGAACGGAGTTGATAGATGTTGGTCTGAGCAGGTCGGGGCATGTTGTAGACGGAAGTGCGGCACACCATTCCAGGGTACAGGGACTGCGAAGGGGTCAAAGGTGGTGGGGGAACAGCTCCAGCCCGAGTAAGCAGAGTGGCGGGTGGTGACTTTGCGTAGACTGACTGGCTGCGGTTGAGGTTGGCCCTGGTCAGTGCTGGTGACTTTGTGTACATGGATCGAGGCGAATAGATAGGCTCAGCTGCATTCTTGATGTTTAGGCAGTAGTTGCTTGTGGTAGCAAGACCTGGACAAAAATTGATCTCATGAAACAACAAATTAAAGTTTTTATATTTTTATAAATCCAGCAAATTTATTTATAATTGAGGATTTTATTTCAAATTTTGAATAAGTAAAAAAAATTTACCTGGCGAGATGGGACTAATAGGTTGACGTCCCCTAAGACTATTGTAAGCACAGCCTTTGTCCAAATCTTCGTAGTTGTCAGGATCACTATGGACACTGGAGGAATCTGAAAAATAGATGAGCATTGTGTTATTATAAAATAATTTTTAAACTAAAATTTGTGTTCAGCATTTCGAAAGCTTATTTATGCAAATGTATAATTTAATAAAATTAAAATCTGCTTACCTCCATAACTTGAGCCCTTGTTGCGTTCACTAAGTTTGCGTGGATTCAGGATAAATTCGTATAACATTCCAGCCATGAGACCTCCCAGCAGAGGGCCGAACCAAAATACCCAGTGGCTTTCCCATTTGTGCAAAACGAAAGAAGGTCCAAGAGCTCGTGCTGGATTCAGTGACGGAGGCTAAACACAAAATATTCAATTAGAAATAATTGTATAAATTCATTGAAATAATATCAGATCTTCTAATTGTAAGGATGAAAACAAATTAAATTAAAACAAGTTTTTATTTACTTAAGATAATTGGAATATCAATTGATGTATCACCTATTTTATTGAAGGAGCAATTTGAAAAGTGAGATAAACGTTGAGTTGAGATTGATGGGACTTGTGATCTGATTGCAGTTGATTGAGTACTTACAGAGCTGGTAAGCGTAGTTGCGAGGTAAGCGGCTCCGACGGCCGGCGCCTTAGCCTGGCCACGTGCCACGAAGTAACACAGCACAACAAGGAAAGTAAGGACCACCTCTTGGGTGAACATCTGCCAGGGTTCGGTGGCTGAGGAAGGACCAGGTACGGCCGCCAGCTGCAACATACCTGGGTTGGGGCTCACTCTGGAACAGATCGGAAAGAAGAATATAAAATTATTGCGATTCATTGGGCTGCAGGAAGAGAGATTTGGAGGAAGAGGGATGCGTATTTTGAGGAGCACACGCCAAAGGAGAGGAAGCTCAGGGGCAAGGTTGATGCGCAACAGGCCGCCTGCCGAACAGGAGGCAGCTGCACAACACCTTTTTCACAGAGAGACAGCTGAGGGTCTCATTTTTCGGATTCTCTATATTCTGTGCACAGGGCGAGAAAGGAGATCCGCTCGGCACAAAAGTGAGGCATGCCTCAATTAGGGATGATGCCACCGCACATTTTTTAGCTCAAATCCTGTGTTGCTCTTGGAGCGCCTGTTGCTATTTGGAGGGTGCGTGCCGAGGGGTGCAGATGCTCAAATCAAACATTCATTTCAAGTGGAAAAATAGAGAAATCGCCGCATGTGCAGCTCAGATTTGAGAGGAAGTTCTGCTTTCAGCATTTCACTTTAACACGTTATACCCTCGCACATCCGTGCAGAGCAGACTTTTTAAATGCGTTTAACAGAGTGGTGAAAAAAATAGTATTTCTTCAGATTAAAAAAATTTTCATGGTGAATGAATAATAAAATAGGCTGTAACATTTATATCAAAATAACAGTCTCGAGAGAACAAATTAAAAGCATTTAATTTTAAACAAGTATAAATTAAAAAGCCAATAGGAATTCAATATATTGGATTATTGGCTCCCGTCTCTCCCTTTTCACTTGTGGGACTCTCACATTAATTAACTTCTTTAATATATATCAAGCGGAGTGGCAAGTGCTCCTCCCAGCTTTTAATTAACAAGGTTGTTCGCATTGCAAACTTTCCCGATCGTATGGAGGGACGTGTCTCTATGACGACGGGGTGGAAGTGGGAAGTGTGGCTTCTCCTATATCCTACACATACCCATCGTGGAAATCAATCCAAATCCTCTTCCATTAATCATTAATTCCTTCCTAAACTTTTAAATGGGAAATAATACGTTTTCCCTATTGTATGAATATTATATTAATGCGATATGGCACGCACCATATTAAATTCGCGTATTTCAGCGGTTTTGTCTCAACCAATAACTGAAAGCCTTATATATGTGCTGGAGTGAAAAATATAAATCGCAACCTTCTTTAGCGTCAAGCAAATTGACTGCTTGCATGTTTCGTTACTATATGTGATTGGGGTTAAAACAATGGGGCCCTTTCAGTTTGCATTAAACTCAATTGACGCTGCTGGCCTCGCCTATGGCAGTGTTGTTTTTTTTTATTTGGCCGGGGTTCAAGTGTTAAAGACCTCTCCGCTGCGGCCGATGAAATATTTTATGATGTAAAAATTTTGATTCAAATTCAGATCGAATCTCAAGTATTGATGAAAACCAGTTTGACAGCCAACTTTAAATATAACAATCATCACAATATTTAAATTTCCATCGGCCGATTTCAGCGCTCGTTAAAACTCAGTGCTTCGCATGAAAAGCACATGGCCGCAGAATTCTGCCTCTTTCGTGTTTATCTTTCAAACACATGTCACGAAAAAAGCCCTTATAATCATCCTCGCGCAGATTCTCTCTGCACCACGAAAGCAGAAAAAAAGCAGCCGAGAGCTTTTGCTCCATCGTTGCACGTGCTGCTAATAACATTTTCAGGACCACTATTTTTTGTGCGCACCTTCCAGAGGCAAAAGATTTTCTTATAAAAGAAGCTCTGCTCGTCCAGGATAATGCCGCGTGCGTGTGTGAGCTGTTGCATCTGCCGAGGAGGAAAATGTGCGGGGGAGAAATTAAATGGAATAAAAAACTGAAAGGAAGAGGCGCAGCAGCTGCCCTTCCTTCGGCCCTCGCAGTTGCCAGGTTTGGATATGTTTTGTCTGGGCCGCGGCTGCTCGCGCGCGCGGCCAAATGTGACAATTTGGAGCAATCTAAATAAAAGGGGTGAGCATGATGCTGATACTTCATGACCGGCATGACTCTCGTCCGGGGCCGATAATTGCTGGCTGCTTTTGGTGATAGTGAGGAAAATTTATATTCGTTTCCGTTGGGAAATCGGTTTAGTGCGTCATATATTTGGATAAATTCATCCCACGCCATCTTATCAAAAGAAGGCGGAAATCTGAATTATTTCTTGATTAAAAAAAAAATTGTTTCAAACTGCGCTATAAAATAAAGATTTTAAAATTTAGCAGTATCCTTTTTTAAATTTATTATATTCAACGACGATCATCGTGACTTAATCTAACATTCAAATTTTTTCATCTTTGAATAAAAATTAAATAAATGCAATCAAAATATTTAAAAAAAGGTTTTTTGTTTCTGCAAAAGCTAAAATTATCAATATCCGTGGGCGTCCTCTCTCTCCTTTCCCCCTTCGATCAGCATATTGAATGTTAATGAGGAGCGAATGTGCGCGGCCGTAAAAAAGATCCGCGCCAGCATAGAAGTATAATTACCGCTGCGCGCAATGAGAGCAACAACGGGGCTGCGAGGGGAGGGAGGCACAATAGGGGTTGATTTCGCTTCTCGCCGCACTTTAAATTGGCCCATTGTTGCGAAGCCGCGGGATGTAAACGCGTCATCTCGTTTATTGTGTTGATCTGATTATTTACAATCGCAGTGGGTTCGTCAACCTTCTGCCTTTTTTCTCATTGGCTTATTCATTGTTTGAATGGCATAATCGCGCGGACGAATGATTCAATTACACTTGATGTCCCCGACCACAGCGCATGTGCTTTTTGATCAGGTGCACAACAGTTGGGACGAAAGGGAGATGAAAGTGCCAGGGGATGTTTTTATTTATGCACTGCATTTTAATATTGCTGGTGGCCACGTGTCCACTTAAATTGTGAATGTGTCAGGAAATAAAATGCTACTTCTCCCTACCAGATGTTCAGTTAGCAGCATTTGAATTTCTATTTCCAAAGCAGTATTATTTTATTTTCAGGAACTTTAACAGCAGATAAAAAAATAAATTTTGACCAAAAATAATTGTTAAATAATTATTTTAAATCTGAATTACATTTTTTTTCAATTTGAAACGCAATAAAATGACTACTTCAAAATGAAAGTTGTGGCAAGGTTGAATGTTAAATTCAGAAACAACGGAGATAGTAATAGAGACAAGCAATGCTGCTAAATTCTTACAATGTAATTAAGTACAGGCCAAGCTCAATTTGTACCAAAACAATTTCAAGCAACCCTCTCAAGAGACCACTTTAGGGCCGCCAGTCATGCCCAAAGTTGCAAACATACGCAGGCGACCATCGTTTTAATTTCCACGCCAAAGTTCCAGGTGCTAATGACTCTTGGCCAACTTTGCATAATTAGAGAATAAAGCACACTGCATATGCGAGTCCGTCTTAACCTCTCTGCGAAGAAGAGCAAACCTTGCCAGATGAGAAGAGAATTACATTTCCCTAAAAGCTCTCCCGTGAGTTTCATATTATCCGATGCCTGAGGAAAATTTAATAAGCGCCAGCGCACGGATATTTGTTTGCAGATATCTCCATGGCAGCTCTCGAATTCCAGGAGCAAACGAAAATAGTTTTGCTCCGCAGCTGCAAAAGTCGGATAACCAATAATCAGTGTTTGATGGCGTGGCTCTAATTCCTAAAAATAAAAGCGTCGGTTGCCCCAACTAATTGATTCTGAGCGGCTCCATGTCAAAATTAAATTATCAAAACGATGAGCACACTGTGAGCGGACAGCAGCAGGGGCGGATGCTGAGAGATAAAATCTCGCTGCAGCATCATCAGCGAAATTATAGATTAGCCTTGGCGAACTATTAATTGGTAATTGCGAGAGCACCCCATCTGCTTTTGGCCAAAGAAAAAAAACGCTCAATGCAGAGGCCTTGTCGTGAATACATAAAATTGAGAGAGAGAGGAAGATCGTTAAAAGGAATGAGAGGAGAGGGAGGAATTATTCATACTCTGCTTCCATCACAGATAATATCACCTGCGCGTGGAAATAAAGGTGAATATGAAAGGGTTGGATTAAAAAAAGAAAAATAAAAAAAAGATAGTTGAAGGGAGCGAAACAGACGTGCCGGAATTAAGTTTTCCATCACGTCCCCTTATAGCTATAAATTTAAACGAACGTATTTATGAATAACGCGGTACCTCTGTTTTTTATAGACTGACAAATCGAAATTATATTTATCTTAACATTATAATTATCTCAAACGAAGATATTGGAAAAGCTATTTGAATTTAGAATGTGAAAGGATATGGAAAAGCAAATAAAAAGGAATTTTGAATTATGATTTGGACTTTTTAAATTTTTTCCAGCACCAGCGTGTTGCATAAACACTTTTGTAAGAGGAAGTCTCGCATAACTTTTTACCTGGGAAAATAATTAAATTCGTATCTAATTAACTACTTTTCTTAGCACCACGCCTTAATTAAAATTTATATCTCGACGCACAAACGTAATATCTGCAAGATCTCGCTCGGCGCGGCCACGCATATAATAACAAAGTATGTATAATCTTTTTCCACTATCGGTCTCAACCAAGGGTGCAGCAGCCTTGAGCACGCAACAATTTTCTCTCGCCGAGTTTGATATTTTACAACATCAGTAGTTTTTTTTCAGGCAGACGCTCCGAGGTGGAATTTTATTCCTTCCTCTCTGCAATCGCGATTACACACGTCCCTCCCCATCCAGCGGCACAAAGGTTCATCTCTCTCAGGTACAATGAGAACAAGGGTGCTGCCGGCCATTCAGTTAAATGTATTGGGCCTTTTGTATGCACGCTCTTTGGCTTGCATTGCTTGCAGCAGGAATTTTATTCTTCGCTTGCACAACATCTGCTTTTCTTCAACGAAAGCGCGCCAGCATCTTTTCTGACAATGAGTTAGAGCATCAGGGATCATCGTTGGCATCATCATCAGTATTATAACTGCAGGGTGTTTCAGGCTCTCCTAGCATATCATCTTGCGAGCCGCAGATGCCAAAAAATAATATTTTTAATAAAAGAAGAAAAGCAAGCAATGAATAATATAAATTGAATCCTTTTAATTGATTGTCCCTTGTAAAAAAAGCCATTTTTAAAATTATTTTTTAATTCAGAATTAGATTTTTCATTTATTTTCTCATGGAAATTTTAAACTCCACACGCAACGAAAGACTCAAGAGCCCTAGGCAGAGCTGGTAGCCCTCCTGTTTTCCTTGCAGCTAAACAGAAGCTCGAGGGACATGTGCTTTTGCTATCGCCTATATTATTCTCTCCTTTCCTTCTCCGTCCCGATCGTGTGAATATTGCTTCGTTTGACCCCTTGCATGCATTAGTTCATTCATCATCGCACGCATTCTGTGATTTTTTCTATTATCTCTGGTGAAAACAGCACCACTGCCCTCAACACTTTTGTGCAGGGCGCGTCTCTCCTGAGAACGCCAGATGCTGCGCGCATATAAGTAAAAAATGCACACAAAAGCAACAACAGCAGCGGATGCAAACTGAAAGTGATAATAAAACGAAATGACTCACACCCTGATGTGATTTTTCTGCGGTTTTGAAACGGGTGGAATAATGAGAAGCAGATGACGAGCAAAGATATACATAATCAATATGGAATTATATAAGAATGAGAACTTCGTGAAATTTCATCTTACCAAAATTTCGTTCAATTTGTATTTAATCATAAAATACTATTTTTATTTTACTAACCAAGCAGAAAAATTTCTATGCTGGATATCTAAGGAGGTTTTAACATAATATCCTAACTTTTTTTTAGGAAAGTTTGAAAATTTTTCTCTTGTAAAAGTTCCCATATCTTTTCAGAATTAAATGGCATGGCATAAGGCGAGAACTTTGTGTGGTGCAGTAAAAAAAGTTTGTAACAACTCTGCAGCGTCAATCGTCGCATGTTCATTTGCGGAGGGCAAAAAGGCCGTTGAAAAATGCCTCTTTTCTGCCTTTCAGACGTGTCACAAACGCCGAAAAGCGGCTTGGGTAGCGCAGAGCAAAAAGCAGCCGGGCAATAAAAATCGACCATCCCTCTGGAGATCCAGCGGCCAGAAAAATATGGCCTATTGAACTGGCTGGTTTTGCTGCGGCCCTGAAACGGCTGGTCATTTGTCATTGCCTGGAAAAGGCAGTAAAAAGAACACCCAGGTCGACGCAAAGACAAGAGACTCGCATGTGTTACACGTGTGTGTTTTCCTAGCTCGCAACATGCATTCATCGAAGCGCAAGAAACGTGCCAAAGGGCGAGAAAGGGCGCAATTTCACAGTTTACGCTCACGCCTCTTTTGTCCCAAATGAGTGCTTCGCTCTGAATTTGTGACCCTTTTTACCAGCTCATTGTCAGACAAAATAGGGTTGCAGGAATAATTAATTATCGTCCAAAAAAATAGATAGTCCTAGAATAAAAAAGAGGGAAAAAACTTCAATGTTTATTAGAAATCTGCATAAAGACTAAAGACTATTTTATGAAATTACATGAATTCCTGCTAGATTAGTCCGTCTGATTGAAAATGAGAATAAATTTGATGGTATATGTAATATATAAAATTATTTTTTACTTATTAGATCAAAATATTAGTGAATTCTTTTAAATTATTAACTATATAAAGATTTTGGTTCAAATATAAAAGCAGGCCATCCAGTTGGAAGAGTAATTTTAAAAGCTCATTTTTGCTACTTTTTAGTCTTGCCCGCGTGACCCTTTGCCACAAGGGTTAATTTAATCCAGCAGGCTGTGTTGTTTGTGCGTCCACAGGCAGAGTAGCAATTTATCACCCGCTTCTCGGCGCATGAGATAATACATTTTTTCATCAACATGCTAAGCACAAAATGCCCAGGCTCCGCGTGCATGCATGCGGGGAATTCAAGATCAGCTCTCTTTGCGTTATTACGAGCAGCACGCAATGTTAAACAAAAAATTTAGTCCATTAGGCCGAGAGCAGAGGCTGCCAATGAGTCGAATTGTCTGCTGCCACTTGATGCCTCGCATGAAATTTAATTTTCGTGGGAAACGCCGGACCAATTTGACAAATGAGCCGCCGTTTAGAAACGAAATGCAGACACATTTAATATTCGGGCTTGTGTTTCTCCAGCTCACTCCAGCTTGAGCCATAAATTGCTTGATGACCGCTCAGGCGATAAAGATGTGCTTTTTACAAGAATGAGTAAACTTAAAAAAAAAACTTGATAATCCAAAAGAATTTATTAAAGGAATGTGATATTTTCTGAAGTATTTCAACACGCAAAAGGCATTGCAACATTTTTATTATATACACAATTATATGTATTATTATAACAACATTTAATTTTAATAAAAATATTTTTTCTTGTGCAGAATTTATCTAGCAATGCTATTATTGAGATATTTATTAATTTACTATTGATTAAAATCTAGCTGCGTGGAATTGTTGGCCTTGCTGCATTTAAATGTTCTCAGCGCTGTGTGAGATAATTTTCCTCCAGGAAACAAGCACAGGGTACGGAACATTAATTTTCTCTGTGTACACTGTTTTTGGCTGCAGCGCCCGCGCACCATAACAAAACAAAATCGTAATCTACTGGCTAAAAAAAAACAGGGCTATTAAAATTTGGCAAGGAGCGGGCGCCGCGCGCGAATCACATTTTCCGAGAGATTTCTCTTCCATAATTCATCACTACAGGCTTTTGTGCCAACTCATAAATAACACATTCGGAATATTATTATTTGCGAAATTATATGGCAGAAGGGGAAGATTATTATATTTATTATCCTCTCACAAGTCAGCGAGAGCTACACGCAGACCAATGGCTGCTGTCAATTTGATCCTTTCATATTCAGATTGATGGCATCCTCTATTCACATACAATTGGAATAGCAAATATCCATTTAATTTTATTTGAATTTACATTTTGGCCTACCAAAATTTTCAAAAGCTGCTCTCAAAAAGTTGATTTACACGTTGGCCGCAGTGTCAAAGCAGGGCCAATATTTTTCCCGCGAAACGCCAAAATTGGGAAATAAATCACGCCGACGCCTTTCTCGCCGTCGCGCACGTGAGCGAGGTAAAGGGTTGTTTTATGGCCGGAACGCCGACGGGAGGCTTGTTTTTGCGTGGTGTGTGTATGTGTGTACCACTCACCCATAGAGAAGGGCTGCTCCGGCGATGCCGCCTCCGCACTGCGCGGTGACGAACATAAATCCTCGAATGGGCGAAATGTTCCTTGTGGCCGCCAAGGCGATGGTCACCGCCGGACTCACGTGAGCTCCTGTGTGCGAGAAAAAGGAGAAAATTAAGTTGAGTGGTTCTGAAATCGAATTATGAAAGAGAGGAATGAACTTCATTACGCTCTGAAAGAACTTCTGATTTTCTATAGAGTGTCAAAATAGAAATGCGAATTTTCATTCCAAACTTTGACATTATTTTTTCATTTTTTTTTTTGTCATTTGGTGATTCACAAACAATTTAATATCATTTTGTATTATCTCTTAATCTCGTGCCATGTGTGTTCACGTCAGTGTCAGTAACGCATGTTCAAGCAGATAATAGAGCGCGAAACACTTTGTTCGGAGAACGTTGGAGGCTAATTGTTGTGCGCGTACATTTGAGTGACATCACTTGAACCGGAATATCGGCTCGATTATCAAAAGCCGTGTGCACGTGTGCACTTTCGTCTCCATTCTAGTTCCGCTTCGGAAAGACGAGACCTTCAGGACCCTTATCAAAACCAAAATGTACGCATTGTGCTCCTCGAGGAGCGGAACAGAGGCAAAGTTTTAACCCCTATCAGTTTCATTTGTCTCCTGGGAGTGTTTTAAAACCAAGAATTAAAAAAAAAACTATCCATAGGAAAATTTTCACTACGGTTCTAGCATAACAATTTTAGATTAATCTCGTTAAACGTAGCTCAGGTTCTGAGTTTTGTTATTTATGGGTTTCTATATACTTATTTTTTTAAGTTATAAAATTCTTTTTAATGAAAAATGTTCCGTATTAATATCAATTTATAATACCTTGAAAATTTTTTGGGAGTTATTGTTAACATCGGTTCGAAACTAATTGCAAAGGGCTCTCTCACGAGAACATTTGGCTTTCGTAACAATGATCAAAGCACGTGTTGATTTTCGTTGCATGGGAAGTGCACGCACATGTTCCATCTACACTTCTTTGTGTTCCATTATATCCATCGTCCGCGGCCAATTATAACAATGAAGTGTGTATACCGAGATCCATAAACCGCAGATGACAAGTGAACACTCAATCAAGCTTTTTGATTGCAATTGCGAGCCCTCGGCGATTCGATCGCTATATGCGAATTTATTTATTCAGTGTTAATTTGCCGATTTCTCTTCCTCTCCCGCGCATTGCGAGATTTGCATAATGCCATGGTAATGAGAGAGGCTAATTGCATACGAAACGATCTTAATCTGCAATTCAAGAGGAAGCGGTTGCAGAGATTTATGCTCACAATTGTATAATAAATGTATAGCACACGTCGCTGTTTGTATATTTATTATTAACTCTCCTGACTGATTTGCAAAACACAATGAAGGCTTGATGAGAAAATTCGCAACGGAGCAATGCGGAAAATTGAACTGAATCAAACTGAATATTAGTCTCTTAGGTAATTTGCAGGAGGTACAGAAGTAAATTCTTGCAAGAGTGGCTTTTAATAATGCTGAAAAATCGTTGTGAATTTACAGAATTTTATTATATAAAAATACAATAAAATTTTCCCCAATACAAGGTTATCTAAAAAGATATAAGGGGGTCATACTCTGAAAAGATTTATGAAATGAAGGAAAAAGAACACGTCAAAATCCCCTGATCCCTCTTCCGGCCATAAATTCGCGTCCACTCGTTTGCATAATCCGGACTTCACACAATATTCGTGAAATATCTCGCCGTCCCTAAGCTTTTGCTGTGCGAAAAAGATTTTTTGTATAATAAAAGTATCGCCTGCGCTTGTATTATATTTTTTGGGTAAAAGTTCCCGTGTACTTGACAAACCCGGCTCACGGTTTCCACTTAACTTCCAGTGGCTATAAATCAGAAGCTTTATTTATTTTGATGGCGGAAAGAGCGAGAGAGAGAGAGAGAGAGGTTCTCGAAAAATGAACGTACGCAATGAAGAAGTGCGGCGTGGAAAAGCCAATAGAAGGTGCGCGCGTTTTATCTTCTATCTTGGTAATTGAACCAGTTACGAATCGAAGAAGAGGTTAATTTTTAAATAGAAAATTCTGAGTTTTACTAAAAATATATTATCGACACAGTTTGTTGTTCAAACTTCAAAAAATAAAACAAATAAACTGCTACATTTTTTAACCAAATTGATTCAGAGCTAACGTTTGTTTGTGAATACTTTTTGGGTATATATATTTTTCACCCGCCAGTACACATGCATTTTCAAGCTTAGCGCTACCAGACCAAATAATAACAACGAAGCATTCCGCCCTTCTGCAATGTGGGGAAAAAAATGTTTTTTTGGTACACACCACAGAGCAGCAGCAACAAGCTGCATAATATTTTTGTTCTTTCCTAGTGGCAAACGTGACTCTTTCGCCCTCAACGCTCCACGCGAATAAATTCTATTAGGCAAACAAATTGCAAGGCGCGCCAGCAGAGCGGACGATAAAAAAGCAAAAAGGAAAACAAGAATCTAGAAAAAAGTGAGACATCCTGTGCGTCTCTTGAAATACGCGGCGGCGGCGTTGGAGCGGTTTGTCATGCCCACCAGAGTTTTATTTGATCCATCAGTGTGCGAGGAGGGCTGTTAGACAGAGTAATGTGCTTGTTTTGTTTGTCCTCGGGAGAAGGAGGATGTGCTCGTTTAACAAAAGAGCCAAAAAAGCGCGAGTTCAATAATGCGTTTGTTGAGAATGGACCCGTTCAACTTGGATTTCAGATACTATGACAATGTATTACAGAGATTAATGATTTAAAAATAATATTTCTTTTAATAATACATTAATAATTCAAAGTGATGCCTAATGATATTATTTGAAACAAAAAATCCCAGCTGTAAATTATTTCCATGAAACCTCTAATCCTGAATTTCAGCAATGCCATCAAAAATTATTAAATTTATCAACACGCTAAGAAGATGAAGAAAATCTTTTGCGCTGAGTAAATAAAAATTATTATCGAATTTAAATAAAAGTTTTAATAAGAAATAAATAATTCAAATAAAATTAAGAAGCATAAGTTTAAATAAATATAAATTTAAATACTATTTAAATTATAATTCACAAATAAAACAAAAATATTAAAAGTATTGAACAAATTCTAACAAACCAGAAACGGCTCCAAAGCAGAAGATGAGAGCAGCGGCGCCGCATCCAGTGGCAAGCGCAACGCTGATGGTGGACAGCAACATGCTGTTGGAGTGCTGTCCGATGGCGCCGCACACCATGAAGACGTAGAAGAAGCTGCCGATGCACTCGGCGATGATGGCCCTCCAGAAGTCAAGTGACCGCAGCTCGGCGCGCATCGACTTGCGGTCGGCGCCACCCTGCGTCCCACGATCCGCGTTCGCGTCGTTCTGCAGGGTCTGCAGGGCGTCCTGCAGGATGCCGATGGCCCTCGAGTTGTCCTCGCCGTTCGCACTGTTCGCCATGCTTGCCGGTCTTGAACTGAAAGTGAAGATCGGCGGCGGCAGCCTCAACAGCCGGCGGAATCTCGCGGCCCGCCAAGGGAGGGGGACGAGCAAGCTGCGAGCCACCTGCTGCAGCAGCGGCTGCTGCCCGAGGGCGCCTGCGGCCGAGCCACCCCCACCCCTCGGACACCCCACTAGCTGCGCTGCGATCAACCACCGTGAAGGCAAACAATCTTGCCAGAAATCTAGATGAAATTTTTTAGCTGACGTTTTTATCACAAAAATATGTAGCAAAAGAGTGAATTACTTTATTTGTGTACCTGTCTTGATATCTAAATTAATTTTTAATATAATAATAAAAAATAGATAAATTTGAGCAGAGAGGGAATAACTTTTTGAAAGTATAGTGGATATTAATCACAGAGGGGATTAAATGTAGATATTATATTTAAAAAAAAATGATTTTAATGATTATTTTTCACTTAAAATTTAATTGCCTTTCCATGAAAAGGAATAGGAAAATTTTCTATGATGCTTTTGAGCGCTACAGACGATTCTTCATTGTAGGCTCACGCTACCCTCTTAATTTATTTGAATTAATTTTGGTGAGATCAGGGTGCGTGATCTATTTTCAATATGGACGATGAAAGAGATTAAAAATAATAATATGTAGTTTTGTTTGAAGAATGTGAATGTGTCTTTCTTAATTTCCTATAATGAAACCAATGAGCTTTCAGTAATCAGAATAACAAAAATGTTTTAGCTTGTCGCCAGATTTAAGATATTTGATATTTTATTTAAAAATTAGTTTAGCTGAATTTTTAAATAGACAAATGAATGTGTCTTATTACATTCAAGTATTATTTTTCAATTTAATTTAAATTCAGAAATCCAAATATTTCTATTCATATTTTTTTTAATTTTTAGCGTGTTATTATTAAACATTAATTTTTGTTTAATTTCGTCATAAAAAGAAAATTTTGAAAGGTAAAAATGGTGCATTTTTTACCACCAGACCCAACACGTGCGGTGGAATAAAAAAATATGAGGCTTAGCGGAGCTCATCAAACGATTATTATCCATTCCATAATGACTGCCAACGATGTGCCCCGAGGGTCACATATCAGGGGCAGAGCCACCCAAAACAACCACCCAAAGGCTTTGAAGGGATGGATTTAATGATAGCCATTAATGGAAAAATGCACCAGGGGTGGCTGTTATGTGGAAAGAAGCGTTATTATTATCACAGGGTTGAGGCGCGCCGAGAGGGTTTATGCTGGTTGGTCTCTCAATGATCCCTATGAACTTGGAATCAAAAAGGCTTGGAACTAAAAACTAAAAAAGTTACTTATTAAATTTTTCCTGTATCGTTAATTGACAAGATTTTTTAAATGTGCAGCCAAACATAAATTTTAAATAAATTGCGGGCCTTATTGGTGGCCGTCTTAACCAAAACTGGTTTTCTCATAATTGGTGCTATGTTCGATACGAATGACACAACAGCGAACCAGGTGTTTCATGCTAATCCTTAATAAGCGTTCCCAAAATTCAATATTTTTTGCTTTCTTTGGGCATTTAAAAATGAAAAGTATTGGAAAAAGTAAAGTTAAATAAATTGTGCTTGCTGGGGATGAAGCGTTTGGAAAGCCAGAGAGAGAAAATTTACATCAAAATCTTAAAAGGAAAAGGTGTAATTAAAATTCTTTGAATCTCTGTTACTGACGTTGGAAAATCTATTTTGACATGTTTGATGTGGCAGGCGGAAAACTTGCTTTAGACTTCGACTCATTAATTTATTATTACACCAATCCTAAAATGAAAATGAGTGGGTGGAGGAAAGTTATTTTATTTCTGGCTGCTGAGAAGGGAAATAAGAAACCAAATAAGTGGATGGAAAAAGATATCATCAGCAGAAGTCGCGTTTAATAAAGAGACACTGCGGGTGCTGCTGCTGGGAACGGCGCTCAGGCGAGAGATATCGCCGTGCCAAATTGCGCCCGATCTGGTTGCTGTTAAATGGGTCTCGACTCGAATTACTGCGATAAAATTCGCAGCTCATGTTGTGCGTGCACATTATATTCGCAAAATAGGTGCTCCTGACTCCTGAGTGAGTTAGTAACGCGAGAAGTGATTGAATTATGTGTGTGAGAGCGGCACTGAGAGCACCCTCTCAAAATCACACTCCACTTTTGACATGCGGCAGATCTTCATTCTTGACACAAAACGGGTGCATATTATGATATTAACCCAGTGGAAAATCAAAATCAAGCAGTATCTTTGGATAACATTTCCATCCTCCTAATAAAATAATAGAGTCGTATTCAAGTTTGATTAAAGTCACATCAGAAAGAAATCTGAGTCTTTAAATTTATATTATTATATAGTACTCCAATCAAAATTATGTACAGACGCAATTGAAATATGGGAACTAAATAAATTTCAATTCTATTAATTTATTCTCTCGTAACGAGTCTAACAATAAATTGAAAAATTTGACTAGCTTTAAAATATAAGGTTTTGCCATTAGTAATACATTATAAATGGGTATGATACTATATGATAATAAATTATTATCTGAAGAGGAAACAAGAAAAAATTCTGCAATTTTAATCCCTAATATAAATAATACGTGCGGCATTGTATAGATAATACTCGCAAAGTCCTCATTGTCAGTATAAAAGTCTTCTCTTATATTTATGTAGTTTGATTTTTTCTACAGTGGTGTGGCCTTCAAGGCGGCTCTTAATTGAGCCTGATTGAGGTTCACTTGGCGATTGTCTCAAGCACGTTCCCTCTCCATAAGTGATGAGTCGCGGGCAACAGGAAGAAATTGCTGAAGAAGTGTGGCTCGGCGGACGCAGCTCGAGCTGACGGTCCGTCGGGCCTTTTTGTTGGTGCGTGCGCCAAGAGAGCGAAGAGGCGTCGTCTGTTTTTGTGACGGCCAAAAAAAAGCAGGGAATCTCGTGTGCTTCGCACCTGCCGTTCTTCTGATTGTGCCGAACGGGAGAAATAATGCGGTCTGTAAAAAAGAGCGCCGGCCGAGCTGGAAACAGTCTGCCTGCTTGCCTGCTCGGATTATTTATTATACGAAAGTGCTATTATCGGCCTGTGCGCGCAACAGGAGATCCCTAGAAAAATATAATCTCATTTCAAGCCTGCTTCCCTTATGTTACAGCATGGACCTTAGTTTTAATTCTTGGTTGCATTAAAGTTATGTGTTAAATTACCATCATTATTCATTAATAGATTTGCTTAAAAAACAGAAAACGTGTAAAATATATTTTAAAGAAATATACTTTCATCTATTTTGGTTCAGGCTTGATAGTCAGCTGGCTGTTTTGTATCTGAATAAAATTGAGAAAGAAACCTTGCTTGATGTCTTATTGTAGACCGGCCATGAGCCAACCTTTGTTTTTTCCCAAACGTCTCAGCGAAGCCTGAAGTTTGCACCTGCTCTATTCTTTGATGTAAATCATGGAGCTATTCGTTGGAATTTGGCCGTTGCCGGTTTTCAGCTCCAGGAATGTAGATCAAATTTTAGACAAACCGACTGAATTTACATAATAGATATTGATTTTTTATTTAGGGAAAATTTAAAGATTTAAGATTTTTTAAATTTTAAATTTATAATCATAGTTTTTGTATATCAGCTAATTTTTATAATGAACAGACCATGCAATAATAAAAAATTCATTTTCATATTAATTCGTTGCGCCTTTTTAAATGAAAAAAAAAACAGGTCTTATAATAAAAAGAGAAATTTAAAAAAACGTTATACAGGAACTTGCAATAACAATGTTTTGACAAGCGCATAATATTATTTGAATTGCTTTGTTCTTAGAATGAAAAAAATTGGTCATATATACAAAAATTCCCATTACTTCGAGAAAAGAGGGGCCTCCAAATGATAAAATTTTACTGTGTTTTTATTGTCCTTCAGCCGCAAGCGAGAACCAAATGGGTGATTTTATTGTCTAGAGCAATAAAATAGTTCGATTTCGCTGCAGCAGTCTCGGCGTCGAAATACAATCTTGAGGCTATGTTTCGTCCCAGCCGGTTTGTGATTCTTAATTTTTGCGAGGAAAAGGTTGTTGTATTTATGTTATTAAGTTTGTCCTCAGGCGAATGTGGAGCATGTGTTTATTTTTTCCTAATAGCTTCACTTTTGTATTAGTAAATTATTATAAAAATTTAAGGAAAAATATGAATATGAAACTTTAAACATTGCATTACTCTAATTGAATTTAATGTTCCTTTTACTATTTAAATTTTTTTTTGTTTACAAAATGGATAAAATTTATATATTGCAAATTTATGTAGTAAAATTTGTTTTTTTACAACCAAAATCCAAAAAAATTGCAATCAATTAAATTGACAATTTTAATTGAAAATATGCTTTGATCGCTTTAATCTATAGCATTAATTATTTATTTAAACTAAATGCGTTTCAAAAGATAAAATCCGCTCCCAATCTATTTTCGAACAATATGTAAATTTCAATTCAAGTTCAAATTGTAAAGTTGCGTGTGTTTGTTGTGTGTGCCGAACACAGATGAGTAGAAAATCACTCGTGCAAAAATGAAGAGGGTTGTTTTTGCACGCAGCCTTCATTTTTTCCTCCTGGAGTTCTCCAGCAGCTCGACAGCAAAAAAATTATTTCTAGCCTCCACGCTACAAATTTGCAATTCAGCTCTAATAGGCAGAGAGCGCTCTCAGAATAATGGCTCCCTCCGCGGTGCCTGCTCGTGATTAGCAGCTTTTTGCATGGGCTTTTCTGCTCCGGGAGTTTGAAATGTAATTAGGGGGCACGAGAAAAACGCCGAAAACACAATGGCCCTCGCTTCCTGTGCTGCTCTTTCCTTCGCCGATGTTTTTGCTAGGCTGCCAAATCGCGACTACGAATGAGATCAGGAACGAAAATTGTAGTCTGTAATTATGTTTGCGTCTCTCTAGTGAAAAATTATTGCCCTGTGATGCTTAAAAAGTCTCTCTTTTTTCGTTAATTAGTGAATTTTATTCCGCTAGACTTCAGTGCTGCTACCAAAAAAATTCAAGTAAAAACAAATGGAAGATGGAAACGTTTTTGGTCAGACCAATACAAGGTGTCTTATCAGCCTGTGTAGAAAAGTAATGGGAAATTTTTCATGCTTATATTATTATTACTTACTTTATTGTAACTGTATAAAATTATTACTCTTTTAATAAATCAAATTTTCTCAATTTCAATTATCTAAATTTCCTGCCTTCTTTCATAACGATTGTATTATTATGTGTCATGTATCTCCTCCAAAATTTAATAGTTTTCAACGTGTTAAATTTGTAACATCTATCTGACCTAAGTTCTAATAAAACACATTATAATGTTAAATTTGTTATTCCTTGAACAAAATATTTTGAATAGTACCCTGCATGGTACTGCATTAAATAGCCTGGCTGCTAAATGAGGAAAATTTAACAATTTGTTGATTTTTTCTTTTTAAATCTTCATGTTTTTAGCTGTTGCAGTTGTTTCCAAAATGATATATGCAACCATTTTTTCTTGTAAGTTGAGCAGGTTGCATAAACTGCGGTTGCTCTTTGCAGGAGCATTATTTATTTTTATGAGGGAAATAATTTTCACCAGTTATTTCTTCCGCGATCTCAATCTAAAACCACTCTATAACAGTATTTTACTAAAAAAAACAATATCATTATTATAAATTTTATAGAAACTAAGAATTGTTTTAAATATTTATTAATTTTGATTTGGCTTTTTAATGAATTTAAAGAAATATCAACTAATTTCAATGTTAACGCTAAAAAGCAGATTTTATTTTTCCTAACACCTACGCTCGTTAAAAGATTTTATTACGAAACAGTGAATATGTATACAATATTAAATTCAAATTACTTCACACGTCTTTCAAATTTCTTATTGTCCAATATGCGCTTCTTGAGTTGGTATTAGATTTAAAAAAAATGACTGTTATAATATTATTATTAAATTTCAGTCTATTGTCATTGTTAACTTTTTAGCTTATGTTGTTAACACTTTGCTGCGTTAATGATAAACAAAATTAATATTATTATCATTAGTACTTAACATCTCCAAATACATAAATAAATAAAAGTTTTTTAAATTTAGCATCAATAAATCTTAATAATATAATAAAAGAAAAGTTTGAATGGAAATTCTTATTACTGCATACATCAATTACGATTTTGCGGGTAAAATAATGTCAATGTATTTTGTATAAGGTATTTTTAACACAATTTTCTTTTCTGTCAATCGAATCTCTATTTTTTAATTGATTATTTGCAGAATAAACAAAATATTAATGTTATTGCCAGTGTCAGTATTTACGGAGCATCATTTTCCTGGTATGATTTTACCTATAAAATAAAGTGACTGAAGCTGTTGCTTTTAATAAAAGATATTATACGAACCTGCAGAATTTCTCACAGAGGCTCATCCATGCACGGCGAGCTCAAGTTCATGGGCCGCGTGTGCACACCACCTTTCGGCGGAGGTTGAAAGCGAAGGCGCCTGACCTTGCGACTCCATCCATCCGCGAGGTTGATGACCACCTCCAACCGGTGTGCACATTATACTATTTGCTCGGAGGGCCTCGTGGTGGCTCGCTCGGCAGAAAAACAGTGGAAAGAAGAAGCAGAGGAGGAGGAGGACCGCGACAACAAGCAAACGCACACCGGCTCGGCTCATTCGAATGCCGGCGCTCGAGCACGCCGGCGGCAGTAAGACGAGATAGTAGTGCCCCTGCGAACCATGTGGTCGTCGGCAGGCAGTGACCATGCCTACCCCACTATTAGGAGCACCTACCACTCATACCCCGTGAGTACAAAAACAACATTTAAATGCTTCCTAATTGTTGCCATTTTAATATTTTGATTTTGCATGAAAGAGCTATTTTTTTTTAAATATATTATTGATATTATTACTAAAATCAAAATAAATTTCAAAGAATTTTGAATCGTTCAAAATAGTCCTACCACGCCTTTTTGTAATTCAATTTATTATCTAACTATCAGTTTAACATTTCATTAAAAAAGTACCATACTAATCTTAATCTATCAATTAAAACTTAAAGAATGATTATTTGAAAACCTTATTTTATTATTTATACCTTTTTATACTTTAATTAAAATAAATTCTTGTTTTAATAATTTTTCTTTTGATCGATACATTTTTTATAAAACTATAAAAAAATACATAATTGATAATAGATGTTGCATTTATTTTTATGGTTTTAAATCAATATTTAAAAGTAAAACCACGACCATTATTTCTACGAGGCATTATTTCTTATTATAAAAGTAACTCCGTTTTCTTCATGCTAACTGATGTTAACAAGTAAGTAACATGCAAATTTAAAAAAAAAGGGATACTTTGGACACTTTGGACTATCAACAAAAGTTACGAATAATACAAAGTATTTTCTTAATCTACTCACACTTTATGTAACCTCTTATTCTGAATTTCCATGAGACCTCTTTGCATGCATTTAGTTTATACGGTTTACACATTAATTTATCCATTAAAAATAATTCACATAACGCAAAAAAATCACAAAGTCCTCGAAGTTTTTTTGTGCGTGTCAAAAGCAAACACACAATCTTGACTTCGTCTCGTCAGGGTCAAGTGTTAATATTTGTTTGTGCGCCAAACATTCAGAATCTGCAAAATAAAAATGAAGAAGCTGCGCGGCTGACGTCTTTCGAAAGAAATTAAGAATGGCTGAATATCCCAGGAAAACTCGTTTTTGCTTATGGGAAGAAATGGCCAGCGGCTATTCCGCTGACGAAGATCGCGGTGTGTTTTGTTGTTACCCAAGAAGGAATTCAAGAAGCGTCATCATTTTAGGACTTTATTGTGATCTAATGTGGAAATGGCCATTACGCGCACTCAGCAAAGAGTCGAGTCATACACTTGCGTTTCTGCAGGCGATGTCAATAAATCAGGCAGCAATTCCTCAACGTCTGTTTATAAGTGCGATTATTATCGTCCTTAATAATCACATTCATTAGACCCAAGAGTTTTTGCGGAGCTTCGCCACAAGGCTGATTTAATTAATCAACCGGTGACTTCAAGTTGATTTTCGACCTGGAAGACACTAGCGGTGCAAAAATTGAGGTTGCCAAATTTTCGCGTGTAAACCGTAATGATTTTCCTTGACCAGAGTTAACCACATCCCATAATTGATTGTTTTGCGTGCCGACGTTAAGAAAATTGTGAGTTAAGAACAACCTCATTTGGAAAAATAGAATATTCATTAAAGACTATGATTAAAATAAAATTAATCATAGCGGCTAGTTTTGGCAATAAGTAATTTTACTATTCAACATCAAGGTTTAATTTATGAATTTTGCAATCAATATCGCAATTTTGGAAATAAGATACTTTTTAAAAATAAAATTTAGAAGGAAAAAGTCAAATTTAAGTTTGTGAAATTTCTTTGATTTTGAGCATTATTCACTTTTTTATTTTTAATTGTTTTGTCTAGAACGAATTCAAGTTCGTGCCCAACGAGTAGGAAATCTAAACGCGCGGGTGTGACAGGAACGTGCACAAGCACCGAAAGCTAATTTTGTGTGTGCAAAAGAAATATGTCGCACTTGGTTGTGTGCACACGCTAGAGTCACGCATGGTTGTGACTAATGCGGGTGCTTAAACTCTTTTAGCTCGGCATTACAACTTCCTTCCTAATTGGCATTGCTCGTCGGCGCCCGCGACACTGCATAGCAAAATATTAAGCCGCTGTGACTGAATTTGGATTCAATAACCTCTCTCACATCCTCTCGACTCCGCTGCATTTTCTGCAGAAGGGTCGACGACATTTTTGAATCGGTGAATAATAACGCACTCGAAGTAATGCACATGATTGTGACAGTTTTATGGAGGTGATGCGTAATTCCAGCATGCAATTTGAAATGCATATTCACTATCAGTACATTGCCTCTGGGGTGCAAGCAAAATTGTGGGAAATTATAAATTATAGCTCTTTACATAATCACTTTCAATCGATTTTGCTTCCAGCTATGGTCAATTTTGAAAACCTTTCTTGGTATTTAATTCTATTTATTGGTTTGATCGATTTTCTGGAAATATTCTTAAATTTGAAAAGGATTAATTACACAATTTTCAAATTCAGTATAAATCAACCAGGTGAATAATTGTTTAAAAAAAAAAAAAAAAAACACACAAAACACGGAAAAAATTACAAATATCTCAAGAAAATTGAATGCAAACAATAAAATAAAAGTCTTGGAATCAAGTTTGATCTCAATTCTATTCTAGAATAATAAGTTTTAACCATTGCAAACAAACAAATAAATAAATAAATTTAATAAATAATACAATAATTGTACCAACAACGTACCATGTACAAATACATTTTTCTAATTTTAAGATTTTATACAAAATAAGTCAGCCGATGCTCCGCTCTTCACAATTAACCACCTAATGTTGCGTTTACTCTTACTTACTCTTCAGATCATTTTTGATGATAGCATCTCTAAAATCAAACAATGGTTGAGTGCCGAGTCATGTGCGGCCAAATTTCTTGCTCATCTTTTTCCAACTAAATCAACTCAATTTGCTCTCTCTCGCTCTGCGAGAGAAGTTTACAGAAGAACTTCTTCTTGGCCGTTTTATGCAACTTGCTCTCTTGAACATTTTTCTGTTCTTGTTGCTTTTCTTCCGAGTTCGCGGTGTCAGTGATGAAGTTGTTTTTTAGTTGAGCTGGCTCGAGAGAGATCGTTGCCTTCTCTCGAGAGCTGCTGATGCCCTGCTGATGCCCGCGATGGCCTGCCCGGAGCTGCTTGTTTCTCACTTTTCCTTTTCAGTTTGCCGCCGCATGTGAGGTTTGAAGAAACAATTAACATCAATCATATAACATACCGAACGAGTGCAAAAATCACGGCGACTTCCCGTGAGAGACTCTTAAGGCTGACCTTGAAAGACCCGCCAATATTTCTGCAAACGCCGAATTCACATTGCTTAATTTGGGTTTACGCGATCAAGCAAAAACAAAATCTCCAGTTCAATGAAATGAGAAAATGATAAACTGTATCAAAATCCCAATTTTTCTTTATACCATCAAAAATTTTCTGAAGAGTAAGAATAAACAAAACGCATATAAAAAAACTTTGAAATTCTATGTTGCGAAATTTATAATTAGAAACATTTTGAACTATTTGACTAAATTGTACGATATTTGAAAAACTGTGGAGAAGAGAAAGATAGCAGAATTGTTTTTTTTTTAAAATTACATCAGTTGCATTGTAGCTTTTCACTATCTCTTCTTTGGTGCAGTGACTTCTAAACGCAAAATCTGACTTATAGGCAATTTGAACCGAAATTTGAGATTCGGCACGCCTATTAAAGTGAAGCAAAAGAAGCCTCCTAGGGATTTTATCTGCAATCTTTACAACGGCAAAATTACTCTTGAATTGAGCAAATAATAAAAAAAGAGTATGCTATTGGAGTAAAAACAGGTCTCGCCTCATTAGCAAATTGAAGAATCTTCTCAATTTAATCCGTTACTTCAGACACTACCAAAAAAGCTTCAAGCTGACCTGACGTGAGACGTTGAAGGGCACATATCGGCAATATCGATACAGTTACTTGCAAATTTATTCATTTGGCGCCAGCTCGAATTTTCATCAATTCTCGATTTTTCTATAAAATGTCAAATTTTCTTCTTTTATTTTTTTTTTATAGTTTTTCACGCACGATTAGACGCAATGACTGGCGTCAAAACTGCGTTAATTTTTTCCACCACGGATGATTGGATCCCAATTTACCCATGAAAACGCATTCAGTGCGACATTTCAATAAACACAAATCATATAGCTGCACTTTCGTCACAGCCAAGGTTGTTGACATTTTTGCATCAAAGCAAAAAATAATTTCATTTTTCTTCAGGAAGTGCTGTGCAATTTTTTCGTCCCGAATCGTTAGGAGCACGTTGCTCATTTTTACGTGAATTTTTACGAGCATTTAAGCCAACGCATTAAAAAGGAAAAAGTGGAGGATGAGTCTCATATTATTTTGTCTGCTCTTTGCAGAAATTTCAAGGCTATCACGCCGGTGGATTTGATACATTGCTCGCGGGGTTTGCGATATTGAGCGTGCCTTTGACTTTTGTGCTGCTTGCTAAAAGCTATACGTGGGTGGAAAAAGATTTCTGCCGCCCATTTATAAGTCTACTGTTGAAATAATTCCAGAAGAACATAAATTCATATTCAATTTAGAACATGAGAAGTTTTGTTAATATGCATTATAAAATAAAATTTAGATTTTAGAAATTTCATGATTCCTAAAAAAATATAACACGTAATTTAATTTTCTTTAAACTTTAATTGATTTAATTTTGATTTTTGTAAAAAACATTTTTGTTTAATGATCAATTATGTTAATTTTTCTTGAGTAGCAAGACTGTGTACACAAAATAAAAAGCTAATGTAATTTACAAAAAAAAAAATCTCAATATGCTACGAAGTCTCCTACGCTAAAGAATCAAGGCAAATCATGCAAATTGCAAATATATGGTCGACGCACACAACGCGACTTTGGTTGCCAATTGCGAATAATACGCCTGACTTAGTGAGCCGTGTGGCCAACGCAAATCGAATTGTGGACGCTGGATTTATGGACCTGCGATCGACTCGGCAATATCGCACAACTTAACATTTGTGCCTGTCGGTCGTGCCTGTTTATTTATGCGCGTGGCGGGCAATAAATAACTGATGGTCTGACCGCGTGCAACAGCACAGAGGAAATTGAAATTGAATTGAAAAGACGGAGTAAAACGCGAAAGAAAAGCACTCGGA